TGAGATCTCTCACCCCGTGCCATTAAAAAAAATCGTAGCGCTGCTAGGTTAATATGAAACTGACAGGAGCATAAAATTAGAACGTATAATAATACAAAGCGGATAGAATTTGCGCTAAATTTATTCGATCGAAACTCTCTGTACCGCATAGCTTTTAAAAATGAGTCGCCACATTAAAAACTATTTGAAAATAACTAACGAACGGAATTATATTGTTAAATGTCAGAAGTTATAGAACTCTTCTAACACTATACTATATAATTATACTACGTATTTGACTTTTACCGCAACTTAAAGTGCGGAAAGTTAGTACCTTATATTTTTAAAGGTCATCTTTTTTTCTCCTCTAATTAACTCAACTATTTCTCAAACCTATCAGGAACTGCGAAACAATTGCGGGTGTAAACGAAACTATTAATAAAACTTGCGATTTCTGGAAATGAAGTGCCAATTCTCACAGTGACCTTAAAGTTGCTATCGTGGGCGCAGTTAATCTAAAATTCCTAAAACGGAAAAAAATGGCTCGGTAAAATCGAACGAATTCTTGGAACTTAATGAAGTCTAGTTTAATTAAATTGTGTACATTTAATTAAATTAAAAGTGTACGCAATGTAATAAAAATTACTTTGCACCGTTCGAATTTACTCATCTATCTCTGCTCTCAACACTGTTGTGAACCAGGAGAGGTCTACGTAATCGAAATTTATTATCATACAATCTGCAATTCTAATTACACGCACTGTGCGCTCGCAGGCAGGGAGTTAAAAACACAAAGGTGCAACCGCGTGATATTATTATTTACAAGACGGTCGTCCGTCTTGGACTAACATTCAATTCGGGCGTTATATAAGTTGTAAAGCACGCGATAGAGGGATTTTCTGGGAGATATCGAGTTATGGTCCCGGGGAGACCTCGGCCGCTGGACCGAAACACGCGAACGCCTCTATATCGACACACGTCAGCCCACGTTATAGCACGGAACAAGCCCCGATGCCGCTGACGACGACGACGACGACGACGACGACGACCTGAACGCCCCGTTTTTCATCCTCTCCCCGCGCTCGTTTCCCTCGTCCGACATTTTCCCGTCTTAGCTTAACCCTCAGATGTCGGAAATACTTTCAATCCGGAGAGTAACGAAAATAGGTCATATTTCACTCCCTCCTACCCTTCCGTGGCCGCCCCGTGGCACGACAGGTTTGTTATTACAAGTTCCGAATGCAGGAAACGCCTGATGAAGCAAATTTCGCCGTGTAACTTTTACCCACCGCGGTCTTCTCCCTTTTTTCTCCCCTTTCCTCCTATTTTCTTTTCCCTTTTTCGTGCCGAATGAAAATGACGCAGCCGTTCGAAGGCTCGACGCTTTAATGAGTCGGGGTGAGCCGAAGCAGTCAGCATTCATACTTTGTCGACAAATAATATGCGGAAATTTAGTATCTGAATTTTCGAAAGGCCGGTTAATTTGATCCTCGCCGCGATTTCTCCATTGTGCGATTCTCTCGTATCGCTTCCACGTAGAACTCGGTAACGCGCGAGGGTGCGATTTTTGTAAAACGCAATGGAATAATATTGACGTACGCTAGTTAATAAATTTGTTTGCAACAGCGATATACCGGGTGATATATAGAAAATATTGCCCAGTCACGCAAAAACTAATCTCGCGTCTTATCTTATCATTGCCGTTCCAAGTAATCGGATATTTGGAAATTGTTTTTAACAACAGACACTTGGCGAGATTACAGGATTGTCGGACGTATGCGAATCTAGCGATAGAGAGAAAAAAATATGAGACGCAGATTCCGTATGTTAGAATCAAACCACACTTGTCCGCACAGTCGTACTCGAGCACAATGACAGAGTTGAAAGCGACGATATTCGCGCTATATTACGCGCTCGCGTAACACCGCGTCAATTGGGACAAAACGTGCACTTACGATCGAACGTAATCGAACAATCTTCCACGGGCGCGCGTATCTCACTTCCGTAGGCTCGACGATCGACACGTGGCACTTCCGGTCGAACCACCTCGCTCCTCGTACACCGAACGAGAATCGCTTCGCTCGTCCTTACTTTCTATAATACAGATACAACGATGTTTAATTGCGAAACGTCAGACGTAGGCGACAGAAGCTCTCATCGCCGCCCAGGTGTCGGTTTCTACGAACCGTCGTTCCACCGAGTCGGAATTATTGTGACTCGGTCAGACGTAGGCAACGTAGCGCGAGCATGCAAGGCAAGCTCTGCACCGAGAGCGATCGCGAATTTATCTGGCTGAGTAACGAGCGCTCTGTGACGCTCTAGTTCGGTACGGTTGCACTTGCACGCGGATGACTGATCTGCAAGGCCGCGGAACAAGGTTCTCCTCATTCAGTATATAGTGGGGGACATCCGTGATTATCACGATCGAGGAGGAACGCGTATTGTCTATCTTCGCGATACTGTAACTATATACATCGAAGAAAACTTGTTCTTCTCAATCGTCTTTCCCGTGCGCCACACTGAGAAAAATAAGTTGTTGATTAGATAATGTTTCGTTGGCAGTACTTTTTAAGATGAAATACGTACGTCTTTAAATTGAACGTATGTTATTTATTGAAATACATTTTTTTAATTAACAAATATTTTTTCTGTGGTAACAAGTACTTGTTCGACAGCCCGTGACCGCCGCATACAGTTGAATCGGGAGATCATTTTCCGATTCGACACTTTTTTTCTCAGTCCAGACTTCGTTATATAATAAGTAACGTTCGCACCCGCAGAAAAAAATTTCCGGATCCAATGCCGTTGCACTTCAGTGTATCATAAAATAGGATCGATACAGCGCCGATCATATTTATTATAGAGAAAGGAATATATGTTTCAATCTTAAATGAAAAATTCTAAAATCTAGAAGAAAATGATAGTATGTATCTTCGTGCGTTGTAAGATGGAGGGAAAGTTTATTCTAAACGCAAGAGTATATAAACTTACATTTATATAAGTTACTCTTGGCTCAGTGTAGTAAGTCAATCTTTTTAATTCGATAGATGAGAATAAGAATTATTGATTTTATTTTGATAGCGTCTTATTTTTATAGCAAATGATAGTTGTGAGGAATATAAGTGCGTCAAGAATATTTTTTGTCTCATTAACAGAAATCATTTCTGCGGTAGCGGTCATCATTCGTGTGTATTGTCTTAGATCGGGCGACTGCGTCGTGATTTGATGATAACTGGTCACTTACTAACTTTTTATTATCTCGGGAGCGTGACGGACATTTTTTACGAGCAACTGTACTGCTCTTTTAATGAACGTACGATGAAAGCCATTACAGCGGCTTTCCGTAACAAAAGGGTTAATCGTTGCATTCCGCCGGAGCTTTCTCTCCCTTTTTTTTCTTTGTATCGATGCGCAGGACAATAACTGACCGACTTCTCGTACCTAGATCGTACCTAGACAATGGCGCGAGTATCGAAAATTTCCATCGGACGTTACGTCCGCGATATGACGCGTCTTAATGCGATATCGTTTTATAAATATAATAAAAATATCGCGCCGGATAAATGTTGACGTGCCTGCGTAATTCCGAAAGGTTATCGCGTGTATTTAAGAGAAATGCGCGCGTTGGACGTTTAATCTCGGGCAGCGGCCCGAGCCCGCAATTCGCAGTTAGCACGCGACGTAGAATAAAATGACTTCTGACACTTTGATAATGTAGATGCCACGATGCAAGTTTCCGCCGAGGGAAGGATAATCTAGGTGCAACGATATAAATTTTCGTTAAGAACGCGTGTCTACTCGTTCGGGAGCCCGAAACCCGATCAAGAATCGCGTGGCAGAAATCTGGGACACCTCATGTATTTTTACCGTAATCCCGTTCCTTGCACGAAACGCGCGCGCACACGCGCTCATACGGGGGGACATACATCGGGCGCATTAACAGAAAGATGAAAGAATCGTCGGAAAGAGAGACCTCTCTTGTTCGCATAATTATTTTCATATTGCGAAATTTTCTTCGCGGAATCTTTCATCACTTTACCACCGTCGCTGTTATCGCTGTTCTTATCGTCGTTACACGTTGGCGTGTTTTTTTTTTAAATGTAATTAAAGGGACATTTAAAGGAAGCGTCACCGTCATTACGCTAAATTAAAATAATGCGCGGAAAAAGAGGAGCAGCCTCGAGGACCTCACCGCGCACGTTCGTATTCATTACAGGCGTGAATTCACGTTCGGCCTCTCATTACGGATCTTCACACCTCCGGTTGGCTCGAGGGCTAAGAACCGGGGGCTGAGAGCGCGAACGCCCCGTGTGTACGTACGTACGGCCGAGTTTCAGGTCTAATCGGTTCAACGGCGATCGTAATGACGGTGTTTAAAAAAGAAAGAGAGTGGGCGTTCTCCGAGTGTCTGGAATAAATATTGGGCAGAGTCCCGTGACGTTCGGACGGGGAGCAAACGTCGGCGGGGATGCCGCGCCCGAGCCTCTCGTAAAACGATTAATCCCGCGGTCGCAATAATGACGAAGAACGGCGTATTTTTATTCGCGTTAACTTTCATTAATAAACCCGCCAGAGGAGCGGCGCTAAATATATTTTATTTATCAATGGCGCTATAAATGTAGCTCGTTGAAATCGGACGTTCTCGGCGAGAGAATGGTCCCGGTGACGCGGTGTTGTGGTACACGGGGATGCTGCGACCGAGAGGAGCCGGTGGCGCCGACGTCGCCGTCGTCGTCGTCGTCGGTAGCGGTGGTGGTAGCGGCCGCAGCTGCGGTGGCGGCAGCAGCGCAGGAAAGGCTTGCGAGAGAGAGGCGAAAGATGTATAGAAAATCTGGCGGCGGGCTGGGCGTCGAGGGGCGGTGAATGACGTCACGTTGCTAGCGACGCAGCAACGCGAGGCGTCTGCGTGGGTCGGTGGGTGTCTGGGGGTCCGGGATCAATAGCGCCAGCAACCAGGTAGTAGGTATGGGTGCATGTAGCTTTCTCCACGGTGGCAGTCCAGGAGACGAACCTCGCGAGGTAGGACACTTTACGAGTCGAGCAAGAGAGAGATAGAGAGCGAGCGAGAGAGAGAGAGAGAGAGAGGAGGAGGAGGAGAGACAGTTAGATAGAGAGAGAGGGAGAGAGTTCGGCGGCCTGTTAGAGTGTCGTGCCGGAGAAGAGCGGCGCTATGCCAGTAATCGAGCGCAGCAGCGGGGTGTCCAGCGTCTAGGACTGTCAGCCTCTCCAGGTAAGGGTCCAGCGGTGGCCTCCGTCCTGTCCCCCGACCTCTCGACGACGGCAACGGCGTGCCGTTGGCCGCGAGCGCGCGCGAACCCTCTTCCGGATCCCGTCCCCGGCGCGGCCGCGCGACGTCCGCGCGAGAGAATCGCGTCTCGGGGAATCCCCGGGACTCTCGCGGGACTCTCGGGAGTGGAGAACGAGTTGAACGGGCGCGCGATAGGTCGTTCTTTAGGTCGATCGAGGCGGCGTGTAAGACCCAAGTGGGAGCGCGAAGCGGAAGAAGGCGAACGACTGCGAAAGGGTAGCTAGATAAATTGATAGATAAAGCGAGAGGAAGGGAGCGGAAGAGAGAGAGAGAGAGAGAGAGAGGAGAGAAAGAGTGAACGCGCGAAAAGGCTCGCGGAGGGAAGTGGGATAGATCGCCGAATAGATTGGATAAGTATGCACGCACGCACGCATGCATGCATGCATGCATGCATGCATGCAGTTCGCTGGGTGACACGGGATGGACGGGCAGAGGTTGATAGATGGACCGATGGACCCGATGGGCGGATCGACGGCAACGCCGAAACGGACAGGACGGACAGATAAATATGGGCAATTGGCAGAACGGAAAGACGGATTCGCAGATACGAACGTAACGAAATACGAACGAGCGGATTGATGGGTCAATCGCCCGACGCTGTCGGAGATCGCGAGGACCAAAAAAGTCGGCATCTTCTCGTGTAAAATCTGACAGTGGACCAATGTTTCTTGTTTGTCTTTTTTATTTTCGCATATTTATTTAAGCACGAAACAAAATAACGACTGTTTCGATGATGGTCGATTCCTTAGATTCGCTGCGTGTCAAAGCTACAATAAATCGAGAAATGAAGAAAGAGAGGGAGAGCGGAAAAAGACATTCGGAGATAACCGATACGTGCATAATTCTGGGACAGGCTATAAATACTTGGATTTTTATCGCGCGCTCTATGCTAATTCCGCTTTTTCCGTCCGATTTCGCGTAACGATAAGCATGACGTATGTACATTTCGCCATTAAGGTTGCATCAAGATTGATAAATTGCGGGGACGTGTCGAATATACGATGCCATTAAACTACGGCGCGGATGCATTTTCGAGCGCTTTATTTACCCCCCCAATCAAATTGGCTTTTACCAATCGATGACTGATCGCGCTGACGATCCGTGATTTCGCGCGATAAGCTAATCTGTCGCGGATGAAATCCGTGTATTCATTTAGGGCGGCCGCTCCGCGATAATGACGACAGAGAATAGAAATGCAGACGGCAAACTAACTCGGGAGGAGACAGTACGTGTCGTAAATCGCTCGCCCTCCTCCCCCCCCCCCTCCTCTCCGGGAACCTACCTGCACGCTCTTCTTCTTTGTCGCCATTTGTCAGCAGCGGTAGCTAAATTATGAGTTATGGTGTCCGCGTGGTCTATTCATGTAGCCCCGGTATGAGGATAGTCTATTAGATCCGCAGACGAGATCGATACTCCTAATGTACTCGCGCGGCAAACCTCGGAAACGATTTTCGGAAAAGCCTCGTTTCAGTACCGCCACAGATGGTGTTTTCTCCCTCCCCTCTCTTTCGCCCGAATCTCTGCGAGGAATACGACTCTGCCTCGGAATTATTCTTTTCCAACGCGCGTAATTTCGAACTGATAGCTCGGTCTCGCGTATCTCACGGCGAATTCGATTGCCTGCACTAGCGCGCACCGAGGGCCGCACTAAGGCCAGTTTACAGTCAATTTTTATACTTAATCTTCTATACTTTACCTTCCTCTTTCCATTAACACTCTCATTTTCAGTTTGTGATTGTAGAGACAATCTTTTCTACATCGCCAAAATACACGCGAATCCATGTACCTGACTTTCTCAGGTAATGTCTCAAACAATTGTAATTTGTTTAACTGTTGACGCAATATCTCGGACTTGGTTATATACTTTATTCATGTAATAATTCGTAAATCTCTTACTTCGTGTAGTCAGATCGCTTGAAAAGGACCAAAACCCATGGTCGAAACGTAGCGAGTTCTAAACATAAAAATTGCCAGATACGGTCAACCAAATTAAATACACAAGTTCAAAGAGTATTCAGCCGAAAAGTTATCCGCGTGGATGCTATACAGATCATTTCACTGGCTACGAAATGTTTCGAGAGATATTTAAGACGATTCTTTAAGTGTATAAGAATCGCCTGTAAACAAGCCTTAGTGCGCACTAGTGCGAGCAACCGAACTCGCTATTAGATATTAATGAATTGCCGGTGAAATTGGCGGAATCCGCTCGTTACCGCGTCCGCTGACAAAACGCTAATTCGCTAACGATACGTGTTAGCGGAGCGAGTGTAATGCGATAACGAACGAGATATTGCGCGGCGATAAGGGTGGGCTCTTGTGCCTTCCCCGATGCCGCGAACGACATTGACATTGCTGATACTGAAAAGGACCTCTTGTTACGTACTTGCCCGCTCGCCTGTTTGCCATTCGCGCACGGACCTCGTTAGCCGCAATCACGCCTGATCACTCTCCTCTCTTGCGTCCTGCCGTTCAGGATAAAGTCTATCAAAATCATTTTCGCGTTGACGTACTTCGTCGTAATGTCGCGCTCGTCAATTACGGATGACTCAAGCGGCAAATGGGCCGTGCGTATTGTACGGCAATCGCGAAATAACCAAGATTAATGCGTCCAACGTGCGGCGCATCGAGTTTTATGACAAACATTGCAAGATCCATTCATGCACGTTTAACTCTCTCGGTACCGAGACGGCGGTTGAGAATAAGCGTTTAAACGAGGGCGAGTCCTTGTCCAGGTAAGATTGCACCTGGCAGAGGTATCTTCCCACTAATCTAGAGACCCTGCAATCAGAGACCATAAGAGTTCAGTCAACGGCACACGATACTATCTTTCCTGCTGGATTGCCTACGAGAGCCAATCCAGGATTTAGCTTTAAGTCACCTGTTCTAAAACTCCGAATCCTTACTGGTTCTCGTAAGCAAGAAAAATAGTATCTCGCTCTTCTACGGTCGTAGAATCGTGAGGAATTTGACAAACTCTCACGGCCAGTCTCTGATTGCGGTATCTCTACGCTAACCCACGTATAATTTTTTAATCAAAGCTTAAAACCACGCGCATATCTGGACGACTTTAATGCGCGGGCGAAAGGGGTAGGAGCGAGGAATTGACCGCGAAGCATTCGAACAGCCGATTAAGGTCTCTCAAGTACTTGGAATCTGCGGATATCTCGGCTTCGAGCTCGGGGTCGGGTCGGCTGTAACGCGGGTCGGGTTTGGGTCACGGTGCTCGAAACTTTCGGGTTACCCCGGCAATATTGCCGACGGACGTCGCCCGGGGCACCCACCGTATTCCGCGCTCTTAAAACACCCGCGATTCTCCGCGCAGTTGCCCGCGGGCGTGTTCCAAGTGTGCTTCGCGGCACGTAGTATCAGTGCGTAGAATCGCGTGCGTATATATATATTTTATTAACATCGTCCTACGGCGAGGGTAAGATCGCCCGCGCGATCGCTTACCTATATCCGTCGGAATTCCACGTTTCCCCGACGAAAATAGGCCACGTGTGCGTATCTTGGCACCGGCTCAATTCTTAAATGCAGCGCGCGAGCCACTTCTCAGTTTTCACCTCGATTCACGGTCGCGGCGGACGTCCAATTCGTAATTGTTATTGAGTTAGCTCTTCAGATGGGCAAATAGGCGGGACCGACAGACAGGCGAATAGGTCCCGTCGCTCGCGGCACCCGGCTCTCAGTGACACGCGAGCAGCGAGCGGCGTCGGTCCGATTCTTCTTCACCTGAAGCTTAATCGCACCTGCAGTCGTGTAGAGAGAAAGAGAGCGCGTGTATCTCCTCTTCCACGTATAATCAATTTATAATCTCACGAGACAACTGATACTCTTGTGCGGTACGGGCAAAGGTGCATATCGGTCCTCGCTGCACTTTGATCCGCACACACACACACGCATACACGTCACCTTAATTCGATCAATCATCGGGAAGTTGGTGAGACATGGTAAATGGAGGCATCCCCGCCTTTGTACTTGGGCTCGTCGGGCTCCTCCGCCATTAAATATCGCGCATACGATATTGCAATTAACTCGGTCTAGTTTGGAACAACATCAGTCGAGCTCGCGTAAAAGCAACGTAATTAACGGGATGTAATTCTAAACGGATAGATTTTCGCGGGGCTTACGCGACCAGGCAGGCCTGTCCACTTCTTTTTTTTTTTTACTTGGCGCCGTGCCGATAACGTAAATAAAAATGATTCTAAATAAAGATGAGATATCGCGGACCGCAGGGGAGTAATTACGTAGATTGCATCGGCGCGGCGTGAGATATAAGTTTAATCAACGCTAATGCCGAGCCCGCGTAGGGATTCGTCCCGCAGCAGAATTTTTCTGAAGGTGTGTGCACCTTGTTCGGTTGCAGGCCGGCGCGATGTGGCCTGGAGTACTACCGTTACTGGTGTTACTAGCGGTCCTGCTGCATCCGTCGAGGTAAGTTGTTTCATTGACGGACGTACGGAGATGATGTGTTGTCAAATTGCCGCTGGCAATGGCCCCACGCGAGTTTTGATCGCGCCCCGTCAACTGTCGCGCCGTCTGAATTAATAATAAAACAGTTTTTACCCGTTTGGAACGGTGTCAAGACAAGATTCCGCGAGTCGCGGACGACGGAGACATAACTCTGGAAAAGACTACCGAGTCGCGACTCGTAAAAAACGCATGTTATTGACCCGCGCGGGATTATTGTTATCGATGCGCATAAAGTTTATACGAAAAGTTTATGAGCGGACCAGCGCGTGCAGCGTCCGAAATTTCGTATGCCGGACGAGCAGCGTCGAACGAAATAGGACTTGTAAAGTGAAAAATTTGGAGAAACGTGCGATTTGCGTGTGTACCTCGCGACGACGCATTTTTCACACTTTAGATCGTAACGTTTCGACGATGTTTACCGTTTTGCGTGTCGTGCAATAAAAAGAGTATTCGAAAAATCTGAATAAACGCATGTCAAGTACAGTACCGGTCGAAATTATATCACCTTTAGGTTTTCTGAGGCGTGACTTTCGCCAAAGTGCGTCGAGTGTGCTCAAAATTTTACAGTAGATAGCAGGTGCATCTTGTACACGAGGGGCAATGAAATTTGACAAAATACACCATGATTTTCGAATTTTTCACTCGTGCACTTTAAAACCAGTTATGCTCCAAAAACTTTCGTCAAAGTGCGTCGAATGTGCTCAAGATTTTACCAGCAGACACCTGATAGCATCTTGTACACGAAGGGTAATAAAATTGGAGAAAATACACCATGATTTTCGAATTTTCCATTCGTGCACTTTAAAACCAATCATGCTCCAAACATCGGAAGGTGGTATAATTTTGGCCGGTACTGTATTTACACTGAAACACATTGATAAAATTATAAATAGAATTTCGCTCTGAAAGTTGACGCGTTTTATAAATCATTTAAGCGAGTCACGTTCGGGCACGTTAATATTTTCAATTTATTCATCTATTTACGGGCAAGTGGGGCGCTGAAAAATGTTTTTTCCCCCCCCAGAGAAATTGGACTGGTCGTTCTTTTATTATACCGACACGCTGGCGTGTTCTTTCAGATGTACGCAGGGAAAAGTGAACTTCCGGGAGAAGGAGAAGCAGGTGCTCGACAACATCCTAGGACCAGGCCGCTACGATGCGCGCATCCGGCCGAGCGGGGAGAACGGAACAGGTGAATATAGAGATTCTTGCGAGTCCTTATTTACTCCCTCTGCCCATCCTCACCATGTACCGTAATTTTGTACCGACATCTCGCGGCAAATCAGCCGAGAAATGTGCACGTAGGGTGGAGAAAAAAAAATAAGAAAGCGGGAAAAGGATACAGAGGAAACGGGGCAACTGAGAGATGCAGACGCACGTTTCGGCGAGAAAGGCTTAAGCCCCGCCGAGTGCGGAGAATTGAATGCGCGATGCAAACACGATCTACCTTGTCGTTAATGCGACGCAGACGACGACCGCGCGAGTTCATTGACAATACGTGATATATGTGTGTGTATGTATATATATAACATATATTATATATACACACGTATGCATGTATGCATAATAAGCGAGCGAGATGAATTACGAGAATTTTCCGCGCGTCCGTACCGAGTGAATGCGTACCGAGCGTGAGAAATTTCTTCATAAACTTGGCGAATGCGAGCGGCGTTTGTAAGTGGTATCGCGTTCAGAACGAGCCACGATCGGTCTCGGGAAGTACCGAGGCTCGCTGCACATTCGCGATATTATATTCCCGCGACTGTCTCTTGGATGCGACATATATTATCTCTTCCCTTCGTGCGACGTACCTTACTTTCTCTTACCGTAACGGCTCGGCAAGAATGTGCGGGCGAATTGGGGGACTCGCACAATCTGGCGATTTCGAATTTTTCCCAATTTGAAATCGGCGATTCTGCACGTTGCAAAGAGCAATGGACACGTTTCGCGTAAATTCCCGTCGTGTATCGCGGAAGAGCGTGAACGATCTGCTTCCCGACGAGGACGGAGAGACGCAAATCTCGCAACGCGACGAGAGCGCTTCTTCGCATTCATCTCGGAGTGTCTCCGAGCAACATGTTCGCGGAACGACACGTAGCTCGCGCCGAAATCGTCTTCCAATCTCCTCCGCATTACGCGCAAAGAAGTGCGTATTACCTCACCGATTGCCCCTTTTTTTTTATTTCTTTTTTCTCGCGACGTCCGCAATTTCGAGCCGCGACACGACGAGTGGATCGGAATGATGGAATTTCGTCGGCATCGATCGCCAGCCGCACCGTGGCAAATATCGCGATTCCTGCAGCCGGCGGGTCGAACGGAAGGCAATTCGAGGTACTTTCGGCGTGATAAATAAGCGAGGCCAAGTGGAGAAATGTGAGCGTTGCCTCATATCGACGAGGGAAACGACGTCCTCTTGGTCCAGCCGCGTTTATCGAAATCGACTGCTTTCTTCAGCTGCGCGGCCACCGATAATCAAACTAATCAAATGCCGTTCGCTCGTGGGTTTATTACGCTCGGATGTTAAAAGTAAATCGAAAAATTGCCCGCGAATCGGTTGCCAAGGAGAATTCGCGAGGCACATTATCTTCTCCCGACATTTTCCCCCGCCGCGTCAAATTGTCTTCCATCGATGTCTTTCACTTTGCGAAACACGACAGCGCATAAACGCTCGTTTATGCGTCCAAAGGCTGAATAACGACGACACTTTTCAGTATGATATCTTTATTGCTTGTGAAACAACAGGTAAATTACAAATGACAAATTTGAGGAGGTGTACAACACCTCGGAGACGACGCAACCGGCGTTGTCGAGCTTAGAATTGAAACGACGATGGACCTGCGAGCCTCCTTGCAAGCAGGTGCGAAAGGGGAATGAAGTAAATCGCATCGAGCGCAATTACGAGTCGCGGGGCCGCATGGCTGCTGCGTACCAAGTCGCCTTAAAACTCGGAAGAAAGCGATTTGTGTGATTTCCTTATCACCTTGCTTATCATAGGCGTGTCGCGCGGCAATAAGGGGTCCCGATCGGCTTCTCCCGCGAGTCTTCGCGGGCCGCGGGCATTCGCATTTCGCGTTTCAGCTTATATTTATCCGGCTGGAGCGGCGCTTAAAAAGTCGGATCGCGTGCCTCGTGGGTAAACGACACTCGTTAACTTTATCGTTCGAGTATCAGCCGCGAGTGCGCGCCCGCTCGTGAGTTTTTGCCATCGCGGTGGAAGAGCGAAAATTCATAGCGCTTCGCGCACGGCCGCCACTTCTGCACGGCTGGGAGAAGAACATCGTTTCAAGATTGCGCATCCGAGGCGATGCAATTGGATGCGATGCGATGCGATGCGATGCGATGCGATGAGATGCGACGCGACGCGATGCGATGCGATGCGAGGATATTAATACGCTGTCGAGTATCCGTCCTAGTATACCCGTGCCCCTCCGGGCGTAATTTGGAGATAGTCCTTCGCATGTCCTTCGATCGATCGATCGCGCATTCGTAATTTTGCCCCGTCCGTAATCACGGTCGGTTTACGTCGATGACGTCGCGTGGAGTTAATCGACTATGAGAGCGGTAAACGCGCTACGTATGACGCGTTCTCAAGCCTGGCGTCATGCACCCTCGATCGCCATTCTCCCTCGCTCTCGATCGACCAGGCGAGGCGCGAGCTGACGTATGGTTTTTTTTTTGTATCCTCATTCTTGCCGCGAAATGGCGAAATCGTCCAAATTTCACGGATACTTCTGCGTTTTAAAGTTCCACGATCTCTCTACAGTATACACTCGCACATCTCTCAACGCACCGGGAGTTATGACTATAACTCGAGATTATTAAACTGCTGAGTTTTAACAAAAAGTTAGAAATATTTGCAGCGTTTGCAGTTTTGCAGTTTTACGCGGTGAGAAAGCAGCTCTGCTAAATCAGAAAAGATATACCTTTGTCAGTTCTCTGTCTGGATGTTACGCGATCGATGTTACGCAGCGAAACGCGCGTTGGATGTCGCGTCAACGCCAAATCTGACATTTTAGGGAAAGGAACGGAAATAGGTCGTCCGAAAATTATGCGTTTCCATAAATCTTTGGTGGCGCTAGGCGGCGATAGACCTGTAATTCATGGGTCTGCAGAATTTATATTTGCGCTCGGCCTACAATTAACATGCTGCAATATGTAATGACGTAATGAATGACGTGGTCCCAATCGATCAAACGCACCATTTTCGTTCGCATTGTCCGCCGGCGCAGTCGATTTATACAATCTTGATGAACTGTTGTCGCTCAATTTTTCGCCCAGTGTCTTGCATCAGTTACACCCACGGTATCCAATTTATTTGCCGACGGCAGACAAAATTCATTATCGATTGGACAAGTAAAAAAAACACGGAATAATTACGCGCACAGACATTTTACATACTCTCCTGGTCCCACGCGAGGGGCAGGTGATTGTATTATACGTTAGAAGATTCCCCTCCTGAACAAGGAACGCCTTACCTTCTTCCGAGACGAATAAAACATTAAATAAAGCCACTCGAGATTCGCGCATCCGCTTGGATTGATAAAGTTGGAATTGGTTCTCTTAACAAAATTGATTGGACACTTCAAATATTATTTCCTTTTTATTTTCTGACACCAAGTGTCTTCTCACGTCGATCTCTCAAGAAATAACACATCTGACCACAAACAAAATTCATTATTGATTGGACAAGTAAAAAAAAAACGGAATAATTACGCGCAGAGGCATTTTACATACTCTCCTGGTCCCACGCGAGGGGCAGGTGATTGTATTATACGTTAGAAGATTCCCCTCCTGAACAAGGAACGCCTTACCTTCTTCCGAGACGAATAAAATATTAAAATGATATAAAGCCACTCGAGATTCGCGCATCCGCTTGGATTGGTAAACGTTGGAATTGGTTCTCTTAACAAAATCGATTGGACACTTAAAGTATTATTTTCTTTTTATTTTTGACACCAAGTGTCTCCTCAAGTCAATCTCTCAAGAAGTCAAACATCTGACCGTAGACTTGAATTTTGTACTGCAAAGTAATCGTTAGTTATTGCGATTGAAGCATCTCGCGGTATAACGCGAGCAACAGAATATTTGGTACGCAAAACTCGAGCTTTATGCAAACAACTCGTGAAATATTACCTTGATCAGTTACCTGACACGTTTCTGTGATCGCGCCAAAAAAGCAACGCACTCTTGGCTCGCCTCGCGAAAGTTAAGCTAAACAAACATAGATGTGTGTAGCAGGAAAATGTTGCTATTAAACGCTAGTTGCCGTTTGAGATAGGATCTAGTCAGGGGCGAGCACAATGGTGGGTCGCCGCATTAGGGAGAACATTAAGCTATCCGCATACCTATATCCTTTGTGGTTGCGAATTAACTGTATCTTACGCGCGACTCCCCCCTTCCGTCTGTAAAACGGTCTGCAAATCTCGGCTGAATACTAACTACCGTATGCGGCGGTAACGAGCGTAAGTGACTTGAAGAAGATTCATACCTGGAATAGGGGGCGAAAAGAAGGGAAATACGCGATCGTGAACGCTGGTAGAACCGCGGGGGATTTTGTTGCCGAATTATGAACTACTAGATAATTAATCACGCCAGTCTGTCACATGGTTAAGCTCGCTGCAGTGGAAGAGAAGGAATTCGTCTTTTCAATCAAATCCGTATAAAGCTGCTCTAGATACGCCAGTCATGCGCGTATAAATGCACGAAATGGATGAAATGTCAAGGAAACAGGCGAATATTGTCGTGTACAAATGAAATTTTGCATCGGGGTTAAAATAATGAATGAAGATTGAATATCACCTTTAACGAGCCATCAAGGGCTCATATTACTCGGTGATTGAATGAAAACTTTTACATAAAGTCGTGTTAAAAGTTTACTCGTATGTACGTACGTTGTTTGTCAATTCGCTCTTCACAGAGCCGGCAAGTTTGGAATTTAGCACATTAATTAACGTTTAACTCGATATTAATTAAACGGGACACATGTACCTTGCGAGAACGATATTGATCTTTTTAAGTGACGCGCTACCGTTTCTACTTTTACCCCCGCTTTGTTTTCTCACGGCACATTTTATGTCGATCGAATTAGTCTTCAAACGCCGATCTGGTGGAGTGGTAAGACAGCTCGAGTGCTTCTGGCTAAACGGAACGGTAGAATAAATAGTGCGTGAGGGTGAAACGCGGTAAACATTAACCAAATAAAAATCAGATCGATTGAGACGCGATAACAGCGCATGTATGTACATATTTACACACGTTTCGTGTTTGCATTACGGCTCGATCGTTGTTCCGCGATCGAAGGTTAACGGGCGAAGGGTGAGAGTGCGGCTGCATGCTGCGTCGGAACAGGTGTGAGCACACATAACGGGAAGAGATCCGCGTGGATGCGATATACCGAGAGTAAGAGAGACGGGCAAACCCACGCACATACACGCAGCATCGATTTGGCTGGAGTCCCTGGCTCGCGATCGGCATGCCGGCCGGCGCAGTTATGGGATTTGTCCGCGGCCGGATTTGACGGGCCGCGACCGGATTTCGCGTTGGACACCCACCACGTGGACCGATGGCAAAATTACGGCGAAGAGAAATGCCGTCGGCGTTAGACGCTCGTCGACAATTAAATCGCACCTCGCGTTCTGTGCCCTTAACAAACGGCAAACGCACCTTGCAAACGCGAAACGCACGCGTGTACCGCTTGGCACGCACAACTATCTCACGCGAGCAAGTTTTAGTCGCACTGTGACAGCCGACCAGGCCGAGAGATACCGAGGGAAACGCTTGAAACGTCCCGAAATGTTGCGGCGGATCTTTTTAATAGAACTCTTACACGCACACAATCGCTGGATCGCACGCGTCCTAGTGTACTGAACGGGCGATAATTAGCTCGAGGTATGACGCTAAATACCACGCGTGTCTCGCAGTCTAAGGCTTACCTACTTGACAGTTTATGCACCGCGCACTTCTCATCGAGCTGTCACGAGAGGCGAACGACAAAAAAAACAATTCTTATCGCGAGATGTATGTCGTGAGATACGTGAATCGATTTAGGTTTAAATACTGCTCCAGATTAAAGTCCGCACGCGAGAGCCGTGCTCAGGTATGTAACTCACGCGAGTCACGATTCCGCAATTTGTTATCGTGTCATAATTAGGTGGCGACAGGAAAGGGACTTTTACACAATTTTCCTCGACGACGGCGCTGTCCCCCAAGCTTTTCCGGCGGGGTTTTCGTCCCGGAACAGTTTCTTACCAGCGGTTTTTACAAATCGCCGCGCCATGCGCCAATCTTCTTCCATGACTCCGCGAGTTTTTCGTATCTTGAATTCTTGAGGTGTCACCCCCTAATACGTGACCCCTGTGCTAATCCCCCCCCCCCCAGCTCGGTCCTCGAGGAAAATGGGGATGGAGCGTCCATAGAACGGTCATCCCTCGATTTGAACAGTACCGCGTGACTCGGATCTCAACCGAGTACGATGACGTAACTGATTCGAAACTGACTCACTCTCGATCATTCCGCACCTGTCCTTCGAACAGCCCTGAATCGCATCGAGATTCGGTGGAACCGCTTAAAGTAATAGCCGACAAGCGCGGCAAAAGATTATGTCGGGCACATTCCAGTAGAGTATGTAAGTCATCAGAAATGCTGACTCACTAAAAGGGAGCTGTATTGTTTTTGCCCTTAGATGGGCCGGCCATTGTCCGGGTAAACCTGTTTGTGCGAAGCATTGCGACAATTAGTGACATCAAGATGGTAAGTATATATAAACGCTAATAACACAAACAAAGCCTTTAAAAACCGCAACTGGCCGCAACTCGCCGTTTCTTCTCTTGCCGCCGCGATTAACCCCTTTCTTTATTTGTCTCTGTCACTTTGCAAAAACGCAGTAGGCGCAAACGTAGGTCTTAGGCGGTCTTGATCTCGAATTCAAAGAGTGTGCTCATGTGCGTGTGCGTGTGAGAAAGAAAGAGCGTAATCCCCGAGGGAAAGACAAAATCCAGCAGCAACCGGACGGCGGCGACGAGAGCTCGATACTTCTTCGAGACCAGGCAGACTGGCAAAAGTGGTAGCAACAACACACGCAACAGTAGTAGAGAGCAGCAACGTAGCAGAGTGCCGGTCAGCAGCAGCAGCAGCAGCAGCATCTTGTCCTCCTTCACCCACGCTCTTTTGCCCCCTAGCCCCCCTAGCCCTCTCACCTCGCCTCGCCTCATCTCGCCTCGCCTCGCCTCGCCTCGCCTCGCCTCGCCTCGCCTCGCCTCGCCTCGTTTCGCCTCGCCTCGCCTCGCCTCGCCTCGCCTCGCCTCGCCTAGCCTAGCCTCGCCTCGCCTCGCCTCGCCTCGTTGCTAGCCACCACCGCTAGCAGCCTCTTCTCGAGGGAACACCACATCCACACGGACCGACCACCGCTACCACCACCATCACCACTACCTTTGACCAAAGCGCCCGAGAAACCTCACCCCAGAAACTCTAGCACTCTATAGCATAGACGCAGGCATGTGGCATTCCAGCTTATATACATTTTGCGTATGTTAGTTACGTCGCATTGGACGGATCATCGGACGGACGAGGAGTGGCCGTACGAAAGAGCGACACCCGAATCGGGTTTGCAGGGGTTGCGGACGGGAGAGTCGAGGGTACGATTACGCTCGGACCTCGTGGTCCTCCGACGTACCGACCACAGGTCGTTAGTTTTTTTTTCTCTGCGGTCGCTTGTAACAGCCGCTCGGCCGCGTTGATCTTTAACCATACCGCGTACCTCAATCTGAGTAATGCTACCGAAGGGGAATCCCGTCCCAAAAGTAATCTCATTTCTCTCGGTCTCCCCGGTTATTGCGGGGCGGGGCGAGCTGTATCGAGTTCCGAGTGTGAACGCGGAACTGAAAGGACGCGTCTCTCCACCAAGATTTTTCTAAAATAAGAGAGGGAGGAAAAAAAATGGGGAAGATACACGGGGACCAGGATGTCCCTTAGACATCCGTCAGGCTCTTACGTTGTTCGGAAAACTCCTCGCAATGCTCGCAGTGGGACGCTCAGCGCGATTTCGCGAAGGGACGATCGGCCGGCCCGTTGCACCCCGACGAGAGAGAGAGAGAGAGAGAGAGAGAGAGAGAGAGAGAGAGAGAGAGTGCAGAGCGAAACTTGTGTTTCACAATGGGTAACGAGATTACACGTACCACCGCGGCCGCTCGGGTCGCACGGAAATGCACGTCGAGAAGTTACATCGGAGTGCGTTCCGGCACTCCCGTTCGTTCCGTACGAAGCGAACGTGCTAGGTTTACCGTCAGGAAGGCCTTTTCGTGTTCGACCTCTTCTGTAAAAGCACGCTGTGAGCATCAGCGCTCGTCAGATCAAAGAGCGATTTCACCAAGGGACGATCGATCGGTCTGGAGTACCGTGCAGGGCATCCCGGAACGCTTGACTTTAATTTTTTATGGCGAAATCATCGATAGAGATTCGAGAGGAGTGAGAACGTTATTTATTCCGGTGTGAATTTCTCTAAAAACAGTAGAACCTATTGGTCCACATCGGCAAATTAACTGGCGAAAGTGAATAAATTTGAATTGTCCTGTACCGTGTGTCAGATCGGCCGATTGTGTGTGTTCTTACGAAATTTCGCAAACGTCACCCTGCACGTGACGTTATAAATAATTAAATTTCAAACGTCGCCGTCGCTCTTTGTAGCGGAAAGCTCTATTCCCGTTTACTTCTCTCGCACAAAGAAAACGTTGCTTACGGCCAAAGTACAGGCGAGTCGATCTACTTCATGCCAATTGCTTTTCGACAAGGGAGAATTTATCACCGAAACTTGGACGCTTAAATTTTACCCGGGTTTCGAAACTTTGACTTCCCGGGCATCCAACAACACGAATATTGATACTGCTCGATACTTTCGTGAGTGATAACCAAAGGAAAGTTTCTAGCGTCTGCACTGATAAAAGTCTGGTTGAAATCTCATGGAGACTAATTAACATTTATTAGTAAGAATATACAGATCTTACACGTATATCGTTTTATACTATTACAGCTATACATCTGGACAATCGGGTTGGGTTAAAACACTTTTCGATAACAAATTCTTATCTTTCCTTCTGCGCACTTTAAATGGCTCGGTCTCTCCGTAACAATCGCTAGTGCCAAAGTCATAAATTTAGAAGTAAAAAAAAACGTATTCGTTACATGGACACACTCGCGACTCGATCTTGCAAATGCTAAAGATATCGGCATCTTGAAAAATACGACGATTCTTTAAAGCAAGCGTTTCGTTCTTGCTCCGCGTGCGGGGCTGATTTCGAGTTGCTAGGACGCCTTGAACTTGGAGCATTCATGCTTCTGAAAAGAGAAGCTCGGATATTCGTAACATTTCCTGCTTTGCGCGGTTCACGTGGCGAGATCACGAATTTACATAAAAGTGGGTCGAGGCGATATCGACGGCGACAACGACGACGACGACGACGACGACGACGACGACAACGACGGCGACGGCGACGATGACGACGAGCACTGCGTGTCCGACGTCTTGTCCTGGTTCATGTAGGGCGGAATGGTACGCAAACACTCTGTATGGCTCAGGACGATACGGCTGGCTCGTTCATGCTGCTACGGACAGAGTCGGACTCCCGATGACGATGACAACGATGACGTAACGAGCGGAATGCATTTGCTGATCGTGTGACGCTGACGCCGACGTTCGCCGACGTTTAAACGCGGTTAAACCACTGATAATGACGACACCGCCGCGGGCTGCTAATCGCCCTTCCGATAGCTGTCGATTGCCCGCCGGCTGTTTCGCTGACAGTGTGCAGGCCTGATTGGAATAAGACGCGATCCAATCTTGACGAAAGTCAGTGGGATCGATATGGGGAGCTGTGTGCGGATTAAAATTAGAAGGACATTCGACTCGGTAATTCTTGTTGCTGTGAATAATTTTGATATCCGAAACGGTCGCCTGAAACGAGAGCATATTCGAAATATGATACGGCGATGAAAATAGCTGCCCGCGGAGGATACACTATTCGCGGAATAATTTAAAAATCGAAAGGACACCTTCGCCTACCCGCGGGGACTGGATAAATCGGTAGCCGATCGAAGCGTCTCCGCTCGCGGAGTGCGCGCTTATTCTGGCCTTCCCGTGCAACATCCGTCACGCCCGCGCGTTTTCCGCGCCGTGTGACGGCAATGTTTCGCAGCGTCAATTTCTAATATCGTCGAACGCCGCGTAACTCGCTCGGCGATTGACGTGCGAAGGCGTCCAACGTCTCGCACTGTTGACGCGTCGTCAACACAGGGTGCCTGGAGTTGCCTGGAGTTCGCCACCCGAGGGGCGTTCAAACAATGCGCCCTCCGAGGCGCGGAAATCCGCGCCGCGGCCGCGGCGCTGGGCGCGCGTCATATCCGCGTTTTGCATTCGCCGCGCTCGTTTTTTTGTGCGTAAGCGTTCAAAGGACGGGGCCGCGGTCGTCTCGCTTTGACACTAATCGGACCGTGACATGGCGACATGGAAATTTCGTTCGATAATATCGCGCGGGAGCCGCAAACAGGCGCGCCGGCACTCCGCTCCGGGTTTTCTGCCGTTCCAAGCAAAGAAATCCCAGCGAGCCCTCTCGCCTCCCATGCATATCCCTTTTTCTTCCCTCCCCCTTTCCATTTTTATTCGCGTCTATAGCGCGCGTCGATGTTTTTCCCGAAGCTCTTCTTGTTTCGCGTACAAAAGAGAAACGATGATCGAAACGCCGTTCAAGCAAACCAAGTTCCAGCCGTCCCTCGCGGCATGAATATTTTCACCGGGTCTACATCTCTCGACGATTTCGCACCGTGTGTTCGCTCGGCGCACAGTTTTCCAGAGATTTTTGCGCTGCAGGGAATTTTCGGGGAGGGGAGGGAGGGAGGAAGGAACGTATCGCTCGCAGGACCTCGTCGAATCGCGTCAAGTTTTCCCGATTCATCCCCGAGATCGGCTTAAATTCGACACTAGCGTGGCGGCGCGTCGTCACAGAGATATCGTCCCGGCGACGACGACGACGGCGGCGGCGGTTGTCATCGATTTTTCATCGCGTTTCCGCTTATCCGATCTTTCATATTTCAGCCGCTCGATTGTACGCCGGCGCGCACAATTTATTTAGCTTCCGTCGATCCGTATCTCGCGATTCGCGTCGCCCGTCCCGCGCGCATCGATTATCCTCGACGCCGGCTATTACCTCCGGGGAGCGCGCGAGTATTCCGTGCGAGTAAACACGAGAAAAATTCGTTTCGCGGTATCGCGCGACCGATATTCCGTGCAGGATTCCGCGGAATAACGCCCGCATTCCCTCCCCCCCCCCCTACGCGCACGTCGTGCATTATTTCCGCGGTCGCGATTTGTCAATGAGCGACGAGCGGCTCGACCCGCCGGAGAGCTCCGCTAGATCGATCCGAGGAAAGCCACTCGATGATACGCGGCTGCGAAACGAAGGGAACGAATGGTCGAGGAAGGACACGATTTACTACGATCCGCGGATCCACTCGAATTTATCGAGCGAGTCGCTCCGTGCGATCGTAGATTCCCACGAGAGGCTAAACGCGACTTAGGGCCGGTTTCACAAGCGTCGGTTAACTGCTAACCGAAGGTTAATGAATTCTCCGTCTCTTGTTAAATAATAAGATGGAAACGTAATAGGGAGTCGACTGAATTAACAGTTAACCGACGTTCGTGAAACCGGCCGTTAATCCGATGAGTCTTAGAGCGAACAAATTAGAAGCGGAACGCCTTGCCT